TCCATTAAGTCCACTGAACTTATCAGTGTCAACTGTCAAACAAGACGCTTTAAAAATAAACTTGCTATAAAAAAGCTAAACTCAACCCAGTAACAGTGTAATTAAAACTAATTTTGGCAAAGCAAAAGTAGGTGAGTTCGTAGACTTTGTAAAGACGAGCAAAAAGAATATTCCGATACCGGGAATCGAACCCGAGCCTCCTGGGTGAGAGCCAGGTATCCTAGCCACTAGACCATATCGGATGTTGTTAGGGGGCCGAATTTATCAAGTCACATTGTAAATGAAAATTTTATCTACTAAAATACGGTAATTTCCAACTAGTAAAATTCAATACTTTTTTGCAACATTTAGGTAGCTACGCGGTTATTAACGCGGCAAATAATTATTTAAATACCTTGGTAGGCTTGACATTTCGACCCAGTTGCACAGGTCGTGGTCACAAGCAGACTGAAGATGCGATGTCATAGCTCCCTGCTTTCGGGCGGTGAATCTTCATCTACCCCCTTATTTCCACTTTCTACCATATTAGGCCGTCTACACACGTTAATACCTGCGTAAACGCGAAAGTTTAAAAATTCAATATTTTTATCCAAATTTCATATATTATATATGTATAACTAAAAAATATCCCAAATTTAGTGTATCGACAATCGATGTATAAAAGTATATTTATTTTTCAATATTTTATTGTATGGAAAAGCCAAATTAATTTATTTTTGACCTAGGAACCTAGAAACTACCCAATTATCTTAAATTATTTCATCACTACTTATTAACTTTCTTATCATAATGAATATTTATTTATGGCTTGTATTTAAATTATCTATAATATAAGGCGATATTAATAGTCTTTTATAACTTACTGCCGATTAGAAAATAAGTAGGAACCTACTTATCAGTCTATCCATATTTTAGTATTGTTAGCATAATATACTTTTATAGTGTACTGGCTACATATTGTAGTATTTTTATAGTATCTTTACATATTATTAGATTTTTACGATTATGTGCGTTTTAGTTCTACAATACCATTTTTCGCATCAAACTGCCCTCCGTTTTGGGCTTATACTACCAGTGTTCCAATCACGCTATATTGAACGAAAAAATAAAATTGTTTGGTAAATCCAAACCAGAACTTAAAGATGAAGATAACTTTATTCGCACTTAAAAACTCCAATATTGATAATATTATTTTAAGAAACAACTTACAATTAATTAAATGCTGTAGATTTTAATTTAAAATTTTACATTTGACGAACGGGGATATCAAATGTAGGTGCCTAACCTCGTTGATTTCATCACTCATCTGTCATAGTATTTAGACCGGGAGTGCTGCACTTATCAACATGACGTCATTGCACCAAAAATACTGACGGTACACGTTACCCGATTGTGTGGAGTTGGGTAACTGTGTGCATCATAACGTTGCGTCCGACGCGACGACGGTGAAACTGTGGACTGTGACGTTAGTCGCTATCGGTCGGTGATACGTTTGTATAACAATGATAGTACCTAGCTAGTTTTTTAAAGCCTTATCGTGACATTGATTTAAGTCCAAACTTTTCAACCAATGATTATCGATACTACTGAACCAATTATAGTGAAACTTGGTCCTCTTAACGCAACACAATAGGTACCTACTTACATCAAAATCTTTTAACCAAGCTGTTTTTATTGAAAACTTAAATTGACTCCTGCTGTAGTGCTGTCTCTCCAGAATTTCGGGAAATGTCAGATTATGATATGAGTACCTACCTAAGCGACTATTCACTGAAACGTTTATATGAAAACCTATGCGGGGAAACGCTCTTAAATCGAGTTTGTTGCGAAAATTGTGGCAGACCCTTCATCCCTTTTACTTGTTTTGTTTAAAAAAATAGAGGTAAGTAGCTTTATTTCTATCCTCATTTAGTTACTGTCATTATTTTTGTACATCGAAACATCTAGTAGATATTTTAAATTTACAAAATGATAAACAAAGAAATAAATATACCTACCTACCTAGATGGTTTACATAAATCTTTGACATCTCCTTTGTTCCCACCTCGGCTTAATCTTCAAAGTAAATGGGTTAAATGAAATATTTACTGTTATTTCTCTATTATTGCTAACATTTTCATTAAATTACAAATAATTTAGTCCATGTATCGTCCGCAAAACATGAACGACCTACTAAAGTACATAGAAACGTTCAGAACGCAAAAATTATGATAGATACACATCGGGACTTGGCGATATTCCACCTCTAAGATAAATTGATAAATATCAGAAATAATTCAAAATGTTACAAATTAATACGGTTTCTTCGTACTCCTTTTTATTCGAGCTGTATTTAAGAAAAAAAGTAGGTATTGAATTTCGAACTTATTGCAATAGAATATAATTTGCAATAGACAACTTAATTTCAAAAATCGAACTCTAATGTTCAATGTTTTTTTTATAAAATACCTAATGCTCCAAAACGTAACAATTTTCTTTTTTAACTATTGTGTTAAAAAATTTTTTTTTTTTTGTAAATACTATTAAATAAAAGAAACATTTACCTAAGATTTTGTTAACGGTTTAAAACAATTTAATTACGATCTTTTTAGTAAGTACCTACTTTATTTACGGACGGCGTAAATGTCATCTCAACAAACAGTCAAAATAAAGTTTTAAATTTTATACGTTTTTAATGAACATAAACATTGCGGATACAATTTAATGATAGGTACATCGTTTAAAATAGCATAGTTTTATTGTTTAAATAAAATAAAGAATACTGTTTAAATTATTCGTATCAAACATTTTTACGACTGTAGTCTGTCACAATTATTCCTACATATTTTGTTACTCTATTTTTTTTAAATGTACCACAGCCCCCGCTTGTAGCTGGAAAAAGAATAGGGTAGTTTTTAATCCTTAGTTATTTGATGATTTTCCCCCATACATAAAACCTATATACTCTAAATTACACCTAGTATTGGTCGGTTTATGCACAAAATATCCACAAAAAGTCATCGCTAAAACCCAAGTTAAATAAAAACATTCAAAAAGAACACTTGGTAATATAATACATTTAGTTTTACGTAGGTACTTATCTATTTGTTACTAGTACGTTGTGTTTATACACTCTTTGCATATTACGTATAGATTTATCTAAGCAAATGAATGTGTATGCTGAATTTCATCTGGTTCCGTTCAATATTTTATGCCTATACCTACGCAAAAAGCTTTCACGTTTTTAAAATCATCAGAAAAAAGTTTCCTTTCAAAAAAACAAACTCAATTCGAATTTTTCCAACCAACCAGTCCGAGAAATAGACAATAAATCATTGGAATTAACTTTTTTTTTATTCAAACAAATGAGGCACAGATTCCGTAGATATGATCCGGACGACATATTCATGTATTAGTGTTAGGTTAGCAAATACGGTTACCTACTTCATTGTAACAAAGTGATGCTTTAAAATACTCGCGTTTTGTTTATGAAGATAAAAGATCACAAAGGTAAGACATCTTCTAATTTTTTTTATGTCAACGTAATAGCAGATGTGTCTGAAATGCTATTTCATTACTGAGAAAACTTTTGAACAGCCGATGATAATTTTATATCGATATAAATTAATAAATAAAATATTGATAAAAACATGTCCTGTCAATGTCACTCCAACTGATAGGCAGCTAATAACATCGTGTTACGGTACACCAACTATTTAGACTATAAACTATCCAGATTCTAGACTAAAGCTAGATCTAGACCCGGTTAATGACCTAGGCCAATGGTCGCGTGACGTCATCTTCTTTGATTGACGGCTTCCGCGAAATTTAATTAGTAGTTTTCTGTTTACTATTTAAATTAAAAGTAATCGGGTAAAAGGTAGGCAAAGAAGCTTTGCATCGCGGAATATTTAATTTGTTTACCACACGTTAAAGCAAATAAAAAAGTGCTTTAAGTTAAGGCGCCTGCTGCTGGTTCGAAACCTAGCAAGTACCAATGTGACTTTTTCCAAGTCATATTATGTACTTTCTATGATTAGGTATATAGACACCACTGACATACGGTAGAGGAAAACATCGTGAGGAAACCTGGACTTACAATTTCTAATTATAAGTTTGAAATCGCCAATCCGCCTTGAGCAAGCTTGGTGATTAATGCTCAAACCTTCTCCGTGTGAGAAGAGGCCTTTGCTCAGCAGTGTGCACTTATAGGCTGATGATGAAAAGAAAATATCTATGCACTATACATTAGGTATTAGTTATTTGAATAAACCTTGAGCTTTCAACCCGACACAAATCATAGACAATACTGACAGTCTTAATAAATAATGGCAAAGAGTATATAAACACAATAATGGCACATCAACATCAACATCACCTTAGTTCTATATTCAAGTCTGTGACTCATGACATTTCCCGCGCTCCAACTAACGCCCTAGCACAGACAATATCATTCTGAATCTGTGTCCACATTGGTAAAATCAACATTTTTATACTTAAGTACTGAATTTATATTTTATAATTAGCAAAATATAAAATTTTTGACACTACGTGAAATATTATTAATAGTTGTTTTTTTTTTAGGTGGGTTTATATTTTTAAATGAGTTTTTACCGCCTAAATCCAAATATCGGTTTACTAAACAAGGGTATACCTACCAATATACAAACAAGCTTTACTTAACTTTCACTGTTTTGAAATTTTTCTCTAATACTCGGTGATACGTAAGAAAACTATGAACCACACTTGATTTTAAATTAACAATTCTCTTATCTACTTCTCTATTTCATACTTGGTTTTTGTTTTGGTTCTCTTTTATTAACTAACAAGGTTCGAACAACAAGATTAGTAGATACGGAACTTTTTACCAAACTACACTGGCAAACGAGCCGTTCTTTCAACAAAGCTGTTAGTTACCGTATTATTACGAAATCTGCAACCTCAGAGATACTCTTGCCAACGAAAACCTTACCTTATACATTATGCTTTAAAATGCTCAATGGTTCCTCCCCTGTTTCCAGATGGCTAGTCCGCGTGATAGAGGACGTGCAGGAGGGCGAGCTGCGCACCCGGCAGGGGTACGTGCCCGCCGAGGTGCTCAAGGAAAAGCAAACTGCTGAGAGGGACCAAACTGCTCTGGCCGCGAGACGACAGTAAGTTGACCACTAGTTTTTCGATACAATACCAATATCATGACGAAGAACGTAAGAATTAATCGGCTCCGTTCTTCCAAAAGTACGGAGACAAAGTTGAGATGGAAGTGGATATATTTGAGAATGAAGGAAGATTTAAGTGTGGGAGAGCCAAGCTTCGGCACGAATGGGTCGGCTCGACCGGAATGATACCACGGCCTCACAGAATACCGGCGTGAAACAACCCACGGTGTTGTGTTTCGCCGTGTGAGTGAGGTTACCGGAGGCCCGCAACCCCTATCCCCAAAAGGCCGGCAACACACTCGTAATTCCTTTGGTGTTGCGGGTGTCTATGGGCAGCGCCGATTGCTTACCATCAGGTCGTCTGCTCGTTTGACGACTTATACCATAAAAAAGATGCACTTATATTCTTTACTGGCTTACTCCTGCGCTCATCCACCCTCTTCTCGGATCCTGTTCGTCGTAGTACAATGTTTTAGAATCTATATACCCTATGTCGTACATTGTAGTTACGAAGTACGGAGAAAGGTACACTTTTTTACTTTGAGGGGAGAATCATTTAATGATTTCCAGCGTGAGGGAGCGACACACTCTTACTGACTAAAAACCCCCTCGTTCGCTAACCCCGCAACAACGAAAAACGGCTCTCTCTCCTCGTCTGTGGACCTAAGTATATGGAACTGACGATGACGAAAGTACGTACCTGAGCATCGAACATTGTGTTCATAAATTGTTAGTAGGATATCGTGTTGTTTGAATTGAGATACACATCTGGCGTTTATTGTCACAAATACACCGACATCTTTGAAGTGTGTTCGTTAACGTTTTATGACCGTCTTTGTCGCTAAAATGTCAACGACATATCAAGTCTTTTTGTAGTTATTCTTAAAGTTTTGTTTTGGCCTAATATCTCCTTTCTTTTCGAGTAACGACTGAAATCAAGAACACCATATCTGGATTCATAATCACTACATGGGAACAGCAAAGTCGCGTTCTCTGTCCCTAAATCCCTTTGTATGCTTAAATCTTTAAAACTAACAGTATGGATTTTGATGCGGTTTTTCTAATAGATAGAGTGATTGAAGAGTAAGGTCTATATGTATAATAACATCCATTAAATAGGTACTTAATGGAAAACAATTATAATAGAATTGCACCCGTGCAAAGCCGGGGTAGGTAATAAATGGTAAAAGGTAATAAATGTTCAACCTATGCCTTTTACTTGGACTTACAAACAGATTCCAAGTATACAACCAGTTTTTTTATGTGATAAATCGGCAAACGAGCAAACGGATTACCTGATGGTAAGCAATCAGCGTCGCCCATGGACACCCGCAATAATGGAGGAGTTACGAGTGCGTTGTCGGCCCTTTGGGGATTAGGAATTTGGAGATTTAGGGAAAGGTAATGGATTGGGTAAGGGGAACTCACTCACACGGCGAAACACAACTCTTTGGTTATTGCACGCCGGTTTTCTGTGAAGCCGTGGTATCACTATGGTCGAGCCGACCCATTCGTGCCGAAGCATGGCTCTCCCACACACACCGTTAATATGTATTTTGAATGCCACTGTTGCAGTTCTTGTATGACTTGGCATCTAATTCATATATGAGGTGATCATGCAACTCAAAAATATTCGTCCTAATAAAATATGATGCATCAACACCTCTCTTAAAATACTTTAATTTACGTACCAAGGTAAATGTCATGACAATAGAAGGTTATGTAGCACTCCGCACTTCCGAAAACCTTGGACTTCAGCAAAATAGGTATTTATAACTCTACTAGCGACCCGCCCTGGCTTCACACGGCTGCAAGACTGATACTAAATTTCTTCACTATTTATTTATTATTTATTTATTTATTTAATATCTTTATGCACAAAACAAATGTACAAAGGTGGGCTTAATGCCATGGGCATTTAATGAGTGTTATTATACATATAAACATTCCTCTTCCAACCCTGTCTATTAAGAAACAAACGCATCAAAATCCGTTGCTTAGTTTTAAAGATTTAAGCTTAAATAGGGATATAGGGGCAGAGAAAGCGACTTTGTTTTATACAGTTTAGAACACAACCAAATTGGCGCACAATAATTAACTCTATTCCACTAAACTGATGAGTAATTAATTTTAAAAAGTGCTTTTTTAAAGCTTTGATTTTATGGGACATCTAAATAATACCATAATCTACCTCTAATCTGATGCTATATCTTGGTATTATACAATAAGAGGAATTACTAAGGGAGAGTAATTTATAATAGCCATTCCTTTTTTGGGAGATCCATACTTCGGTGCGAATGGTTTAGCTAGAGTTATAACACGGCCTTATAGAAAACCGTATGTATGTTTTAACCTCAGTTTCAAGTAGGTATAGATAGCAGTAAAAAAGGGTTTGGATAGTAAACAAAACAATAAAGATGAAACTAATACACAAAGATAGATAGGTACTATTGCTAGTCTACATTTCCACGTGTAAATACTTGTGGTTCATTTTATGTCAGCACTTATCGTTGGGATTAGGGGTTTGGCAACAGCTCTTATTCCTAATAGTGTTGTCAGTACTTATCTGTCAGGTAGTTAAAATAAGGCTTTAATACTTCTTCTGTAATAATGAGTAACAGACGCCACGAACTGTACTTAGCAAGGATGAGACGTTAAAATTTATGTTTCACAGGACATCTCACTAAAAATAAACAAATGGTTGATCATCAAAATGGTCCTTAATTTTTTTTAACTTTTTAACGAATCGTTTATAAAACTTACGAGATAAACTGATAGAAACGTCAAATATTTTGCAAACACAACATAAAGAACGCGGGAAATATATTTAAATAAAATATTCCTTTTTTGAAACCGACTGCACATCATCAACTCCACATTTGCTTCCTTCACATTTTTCAAAATAACTTTAAAACGTCGTCAAATTACGTGTGGATATTAAAAATAATGAGAGAACACGAATTTACAAGTTATTCAGGACAGTGTATTAAGTTATCATCGACGTCATAATTTGGCAGCTCACTTTCTTCCTTGTTGCCATATTGCTTTCTGTGTCAACAAACTGACAGCTCTCAGCTTTTGTTTCTTATTTTAAAAACAAACGTTTGGACTTGTTCTTTTTATTTTAAATTCAATCTTTTGTGTTTCGAAACACAATTATTGGAAATGGATTTATTTGTAGAAGATTCTTTAACGTATTTTCTTTATCGAATCTTATTTTTAAATTTGGAAATTTTTTGGTCTTGTCCAGTTTACACAGATATTTTTTATAGACAGACTTTATATTCTGTAAGTACGCGTTTATCGTGAAAGATAAAACAGTTATTGACAAATGTTCTGATGGTTGACCTTAACATTATTTATTTTGGATCACTGCCGACCGAATAATGTCGTCTTTAACGCCATCATTAATATTTGATCAATGGTTACTGTTCGTAGAACACACCTGAACCATGTCCTCAATAAATACCTATCGAAATTGAGCCAAATTGTCAACATTTACATTATTTAACACCTAATCTTAAGCTAAAGTATTATTAAGATACCTTAATAAAGATTAGACAATAAATATAGCATTTACACGGAAATCACATGTTGCACTTATGTAGATACGGTACCTGCATAATACAAGTTTAAATCTTGTGACGAGTGTAGTCCTTTTCCTGTTATAGTCTGGATTACCTGATGGTAAGCAATCGGCGCCGCTCATGGACACCCGCCACACCAAAGGAGTTACGACTACGAGTGCGTTGCCGGCCTGTTGGGGATAGGGGTTGCGGATATAAGGATCGGGATAGGGATCCCGATCCTTATATCCGCAACGCAAAGGGGAGGGATTGGGCCTCCGGTTAAAGCGTCGGTTTTTCTTAAAGCGTACCTATTTTTAGTTTACAATTATTTTTATCAAAGTCAAAGTCGAAATCATTTATTCCAACCACGATTCTAACTGAACCATAAATAGGCACTGTTTTTTTTTTGTTCAGCTTTAATTGTTGCATATTCCAATGGTGAAGAACGAGCAAGAAACTCGGTTTTCTCGCCAATATACATAAAATTCTCACATCATTCTCAAACCGCTCATCTTTCCAAAATCCATCGGCTTTGGCATGAATCATGGCTACTATTAGAATGGGTGCACTCAAGTGCGCAATAAACAGATCGTTACACAGTCATTCATTTTGGAAATGCACATCTGCATCTGCAACCGCCAATGCATCATCATCACGTCCAATTATTCCCAGATGTCCGCCTGCATCAGCTGGTGCCAGCACTGTACTGTTAGGTGTTCGGCGTTTAGTCAAAACTGCCAACAACTTGTCCAGTCTGATTTGTCAGGATTTAAGACCTGCTTTCGGATGATGGATCGTTAGAACAGTGGCTAATTGGCTGTCTTATTTTGAAATCATTGTTGATTTTTGTTATAATAGAATAATAGCAAGAATAAGAATTGCTGTCTTATAGATGCTTTGTCACAGCAGTCAGTTATGCTCATTCCAGAATAATTCTATGCGAACCAATGAGATTCAGGTATATAGTAAAAATGCATCTGGTTTGATTTGCTTATATGAAAATATCAAAATCAAAGTCAAAATCATATATTCCAACTAAACCATAAATTGGTACTTTTGAAAGGTCAATAGTAGTCTGCCACAGTGTTCATCAGTGAAGCTAGGTGCTCGTTCCAAATTGTAGATTTGAATGAAGAAGAACGAGCAAGAATCTCCATCTTTATCATAAATGTTTTATTAGATTTTTCTTATATTATTATTCCATCTTGGAACAAGCCTCGTAGGTGCTTGCTTTTATCAAAATACCCTTGTACTTCTTTACTGAATTCGTTTCAGGAAGAAAATAATACCCAATGAGCTTCCTACATTGACATCTAGCAAATCACGACCTTCCCGCACCTGTGTTACCTTTCCATTCACTATTATAGATACTCCCACGTCTTCATCTTTTGGCAGCGTGGCCGCGCGCTCTCTGCCTGACTCAACATCTAGGAAAACACTCTCTAGTTTATGATAATGTCTATCATTTAAACCCTCAGCGTGATGCCATAATCGCCAGCCGAGCTGCTGATCGAAATATGTGTCTATTGATCTTGAAAGCTCCACTTGTTTTGTATGGGGCTCAAACAGGTTGGAGAGTCTTTTGATAATTTTTGAATTATATTTCCTACGTATGAGAATTATGAAAATGTTTAAAATATTTTGTTTTTCTGTTTTTGATGCTATTTTTATATTATTATAAATAGCTAAAATTGTTACTTCTGTAGGGATATATTAGTTTTGTTTTAACAGTTTCCTATTTTACCAGAGCCGATCGATTCTTGATTATATGTTTTCTTAACTTTTAATCTCTAAATAGAAAATTATACGATTACGACTTCACACCATGTGTGGTGTGGTACACCAGAGGACAGAAATAATTAAAAAAAAATTAAAACCTCTGTTAATTTAGGACTTTATCAGACAAAATCCTTTTATTTTCTTGTTCAGGGCCGTGGTACGAGAGTTAGTGGAGACGGAAGAAGAGTTTGGGCGCGACATGCAGCAGGTGGTGACGCGGTACATGAAGCCCATCGACAAGGCCACCACGCCCAAGGCAGTGTTCGACAACCGGGAGCTGCTCTTCTCGAACTTTAGGCAGATTTGCGAGTTTCATAATACGTAAGTGACTTTTACATGTAACTCCAATTTATTACCTCAAAGGATATGTCAAAACTGTTACAATTCATGAGCTTAGAGGAGTAAAAAAGCGCTATTACTTATTCACCAGGTACAATTACAGATCTCACATTTTAGTGTTTATAAGTAAGAGAGTAGTGTCATTGTTTGCACTAGAGACACACTGCTAAAGCATGAAACCATCAGTAACAATGATACAAACTTCTTTAAACTTTAGTAACCTTTAACTTACAAGTCTTAATTGTCGAATTTTTTTCAGGATATTATTAGAGGGGATAAAATACTACGCCAGCGAACCGAAAATGCTCGGACGAGCACTTTTACGAATGGAGCGAGAATTCGACAAGCACGTCAGCTACTGCCGTGACGAGCCCAGAGCACAGCATCTGCTGGCCACCGAACCCGTGGTCAACAAGTATTTTCAGGTCAGTACATACACTTCTCAACTTCATGGAATTCTTGCATTTTCGCTTTCAGTATAATTTCCCAAACAACTATTGCCATCTGTCTTGGCGCTGTAAAAGTTTACACTGTATACGCCATCTGTCCTAAGATTCAGAGACTACAAAAAACGACATCTATCGCCCATTTTCCGAAACGACACGGAAAACTAACCGCCATGTTGGATTTTCTGAAAAGACGTAGAAAACTATCGAGAGATGGCGTTACTGGTACCAAAATTGCTCATCTATTATTACTTTAGCTTAAATCAGTAGGAGTATTGGTTAACCAATTGCGTAATGTAATCGATTGAAGACATTGTCATGGCGGTAAACTCAGCTATTTCTGGCTCTCCGACGTAAAATTTGTAAAATTGGTTCCTTAATTAGCGAGATACCGACTCCGCCTCAACAATTTATTGATCTGTAGGCCCCTTTCTTTGATGGCGTGAAGATAGTCGGGCGCCGGCAGGGAGTTAGGCAATCAGCCAAGAACTAGAATAGTTTGGATGCCACGCCGAGCCGCGGTATGAGTGCTGTCAATTCGAACACTCATATCGGGGGCAATCACACTATTTCGCCTATAAACAAGATAATATTAGATGGTTGGCTCGCAAAATGATAAATAGTTAGGATTAATCAGCTGACTTCTTAATGTGTTGTGTAAGATTTCTAGACAGATCTAAAATGTAGGAGGTTGTGCTGACTGGCTGGCCACGGTACGAAGAAAGATATACTTATAAGGTTTATACTTGACGTAAATTCCGTGGGGCATTTATATCTGCTGCAATAAAAAACAATATTTGCAAAAAATATTAGGTACTTATTAGTAAGTAACGTGAATTTGTAGACATTGTGATAGTATTGGATCTTAGGTACTCTTGGTGTGATAAACAAACAAGATGTGTACAATAAGTAAAACGGACATGAATTTTCCTGTTATACATATTTCTCAACGAACTAGTTAATAGTTATTCACATCATCAAGTGAAAGAGAGAAGAGGCCTTTGTACAGCAGTGGGCACTTATAGACCGATGATGTGATGTGAACATAGCCTTACCTCCGGGCCAAACTATTGCTTATGATGGATTTAGCGTTTGAAGTGTGGAATGAAAAACTCAACAATCTACGTAATGGTTACGCCTTGACGTAGGAAATAACGTGGTTGGACCGATTTTTCGAGTTTTTTTTAAGATGACGCCACACCACTTTTTATAACTAAAAGCTATTTGACATAAATCGTTATGAGCTAACAAATTGTTATTCCATATTTCTATGTTCATGAAATATTCCTGTTTTAGTATTTGACAATTAAGAAATTATATATTATGTATAGGGGATTATTGTGAATTAGTGTTAGCTGTGAATTTCTCAAACTAGTATTAAAAACGTAACACAATGGGTAATTTCAGAGATCCGACTTTTACCGAACAAACTATTTAAATTTACTATCAAGGGTAACCGATTTAAAGTGAAGAGAATCATATGACTGAAAATGGTTAGATGTAAAAGAACTTGAGAAAAGAAAATAAAAAAAAAATATACCAAAATTTATGTTACCTTCAGATTAATGTTACAACATTTATAATGACACGACAAATCACAAATTAAATAAGTATATTAACGGTGTTCTTTCTGCGTAGAGTAATTTAAGGAAGTAAGGAATGACTTTTTTCCTCTGAATAGGTACTATATTTCAAGAGATGTCCCTCATTCATTCTAGAAAATGCATTTTTGGCATAGACTTAGAGGTCATGTTACGATTGCTATTATAGCAATCTCTACAAGATTTTTGAACATAGTTTAAGGTCTTTTTATTTTCTTTAAGAATTTCCCTAACTAAAGGCCTACTTCAAAACCTCCATATTTTATATTATTATAAATCAATACCACTTTTTGTTGTTGTACTGTTGTTATAACTCAACAATGCCTTTACCGATTTAGGTCTTGAATTATTCGTGAAAGTTCACGGAAGGTTTAAAAGGCCAAGTCCGCCAGGTCAGCTAGTGTTCTCTATATAATGTTCTCTGAACTTTATTTATTTATACTAGGAAACAGAATTATTCACGCAAAATAGTAATCAGAATCTACTAAACATTACTGTTTATTTTTGGCCTTAGTTTTTTTTTTTATTTAGTAGTTCGGCAAACTAGCAGACGGATTACCTGATGGTAAGCAATCAGCGCCGCCCATGGACACTCGCAACGGAGGTGTTACGAGTGCGTTGCCGACCTTTTAGGGATTAGGATTGGGGGAGGGGAAGAATTGGTCCTCCGGTAACCTCACTCACACGGCGAAACACAACGCTGTTGTTATTTCACGCCAGTTTTCTGTGAGGCCGTGGTATCACTCCGGTCGAGCCGACCCATTCGTGCCGAAGCATGGCTCTCCCACACTCATTAATCCTTCCCCCCAAATACTTCCCCGATCCCAAAATCTACAAATTTCTTATCCCCAAATGATCGGCAACGCACTCGTTACTCCCCTCATGGTGCTGATTGCTTACAATCAGGTAATCCGTCGGCTAGATTGCCGTCCAGAACACCAAAACCCACTGTTTATTTTGGCCTTAGTTTTAGTCAAGGTTCTGGTCCATATTATTGTAAAAGACGGCACATCAATCGTTGCCCCGATTAGCGAAAACTATAAAGAACAATATACCTTTGCCACGGTTTCCGACGCTCGTTAAAACAGATATGGCGGTTGCCAAATACGTGTACAGCGTACTCCGGGGTAAAACTGCACTGTTTACATAGAGCTGGTGGATTTATGCCAAGCGTGGTAGTGTGTTAGCGTAGCTATGTCCGACTTTGACTTTTCAAAACGCAATTAGGACGACATTGATACGATGACAAGAAGAATTTGATTTACATAATTACACATTTGTTCGTTTTTCTATAAAAACGTATTTATCTTTGGAATGATTGCCAAGATTTCGTGATTGAGTCGGGCATTTTGTTAACTGAATAATATTGATATTTTTCATGGTTAGTTTGACATGATATATTAAGAAACGAAAATCTAAGGGAACCATGGTTTCGATTGATTGTGTATATATTTGAAAAGTGTTTACCCCCGGATATCTTCTTAATTGATTGACGAATCACAGTCACTCATATACTTCTATAAATATATACACCATTTTGTTTGATGTCATAGCTCGGCAAACGCAGACGGATTACCTGATGGTAAGCAATCAACACCGTCCATGGATACTAGTAATAACTACTAAAGGAGTTACTACAAGTGCGTTGCTGGTCTCTTGTAAGTTATTAGGGATTCAAGGATAAGGGATTTGAGGATTGAGGAAGAATTGGTCCTCCGGTAACCTCAATCACACGGCGAAAAATAGCGCTGTGGCTGTTTCACGCCGGCCTTTCTGTGAGGCTGTGGTATCACTCTGGACGAGCTGGTACATACATGGTGAAGCACGAATGGGTCACTTATAAACACAAAATGTTAGTTTTTAGCCACTTTAAAATAGTCTTTAGTAATTTTAAATAGTCAAGTAAACAGGAAATGTGGGGGAGCTACATACACTATACACATTCGTATTAGCAAAATACAGATATTTCTCGAATTTCGCATCCCACAACCACTTGTATTCGAATCAATACTTACAGTTATTGAACAAGTTTTCAACGAATCATTTTGGATGCCCCACCTATGAGTATTTAGTCAAAATAAGCATCGGTATAAAATCCTACGCAACTGAAACTCGTCACGATTGAGTCAAACCCAGAAATAATGTAACATTATTCTCTTGTCTACGCTTCCTTTGCGCGATTTTTAAGTCGACTATAGTCATTGTAGGTTATAGTGACGAATTCCCTCTTAATTAACAAATTGGGTATGGGAATGAATGGTGAGGGTGGTATTTTGGATTACCTGAAAAAAAACTGATAAAAAAGCCTATCATAATATATCCAAGATTGCGTCATAAATATTTCTATATTATGTTAAATGTTTGAAACTCTCAAATTGTCTATCCAAGAAATATTCTAATGTGGATAAGAATAACCACAAAACCATATGCAGAATCACGCCAAACTCGGAACAAGTTTTCAATAAAAATCTAATGTATTTCCGTGTTTACATGTATCATATCCACCTTGTACATTCAAAACAAACTAAGTAATCTCATCGAGAGCTTGCTTGCAACTGCACTAATTGAAAGAGTGCAAGTCATAGATATAAGATAATTGCATCTGCCAGGGCCGGACGGGAGGGAGTGTCAGACTCTTACTGACTAAAAACCCCCCTGTTCCTTGTCCTGCTCTGGGCCGAGGTAGCGGTGCCTCATTGCGCTTACCCCGCAACCCCGGCTGAACATCAGCCCTTTAGGGCCCCGTCTGTGGTGGTCTATTGGCTCTTTGAGGCGAGCGCGGAACGCTACGCTCCGTACGCTCGGGCGCATCTGCTGAGGTTGCAAGTTAAGCGTAGTAATGTGCCCCGGCCTCGACCTGAAGCAGGCCAAGGAACGGGGTGGGTTTAGTCAATCAGATACACTTCCTCTCGCCCCACCTAGACCGAGAAAGACATGAACATTACCATTATCCAGTTAGGCACCTTTTGTTTGTGAGGGGAAAATCATCATTCTTCTTTCCTAGCCCAAGGTGGGACGAGAGGGAATCTCTGACTGTTACTGACTTAAAACCCATCAGTTCCTTCTCCTGCTCCAGGTCGAGGCCGCTGTATCTTATTGCGGTTGCCTCGCAACAGCCCCGGCTGGATATCGGCCCTGTTGGGTCCCGTATGTATATACATAGGTAGATCGGCACCTATTGTCTCTATAACGAATTAAACAACATTGACATTATTAAGACGGAGGACTTCCAAATCCCGCCATCAATAATTCGGACATCTTATCTAGAGCTTGTTATTCATGATCTTTAAATCGATGCATTTCTATACGTCTGATGCACAAATAGATTGCGCCACATTTTCCGTGGGTGTCAGACGAATGTAAAGTGAGGAAAGTATA